CAAGAACAACCAACTTGCAGAGGACTGCATTTAAACCACCTCCACATTCAAGCATTCATTTTGCCACCAAATTTATTAGTCGCTGAAATCAGAAAAACACCAATAAAAATGTATTGCAAAACTGAAGAGACCTCAATAACGTTGTTATGTTTCACCAGCTCTCCATAAATAAGAATGGAGCTTTTCAACATCCTGTCTTTATTAATAAAAGATTATCTCCTTTTTACAATGATTCACCAGCCAATTGGAGAAGGAGGAAATTGTTGACTTGATTCCACTGGTTGTGTTTAAATTAGAAAATAGCACCATGTGGTACATTTTGATTAGAGAAGCACTTGAAACAGTTATCAGTTAGCTTGACACTATCATAAAAATGATTAACAATTTGCTTTATAACTGTTTTTATTTCGTTTAGTGCCAATTATTCAATTATATCATGCACTCAGTATTCAGAATCATGTCCATCACCATGACAACCATTTAGGGCTTTTGTCTTCAAATCAATGTGCAATAGCACTCAATATGTGAATACTGATTCTCTAAGATATTTAACTAAACTAACAAAACAACTGGGCTATCATTTCTTAAGTGCCCCCTTTCTCATTACAAGCACCAAAAGCTATTCTGTTATCATCAGTTCTGTTGATATTAATATTAAAACGATGCTGGGACATAAGCCATAGAAGTCTAAAAGCTTTGCACACGATTTGACCAATTGGCCTATTGTTTCCTGATCTTTACTGTAGCAAAGTTCGGCTAAACCCACTGCCTGTGATACTCTGGATAGTCAATTGATCAGAGTCAAACCAGAACCAATCTTTACCTGGTATCAACGTATTCATTGGGAGAGATTTCTGAAGAAGGGTCTAGACCGGTAACGTCAGCTTTCCTGCTCCTCTGTTGCTGCTTGACCTGCTGTGTTCATCCAGCTCCACACCTTGTTATCTCAATGTATTCAATGAGTGAGTTTTTAAAGGTGTATAACTCTGAGCTTAACTCACGCCCTGTCTCAGTAAGTGTCACTTTATACGTACTGAAAACAAACGCTGGAGATCACAGCAGGTCAGGCAGCATTCATGGAAAGAAAACGAGCTAAAGTTTCAAGCCCTGATGAAGAGTCATCTAGACGCAAAACATTAGCTTTCTCTCTCTCCATGGATACTGCCTGACCCACTGTGATCTCCAGCATTTGTTATTTTCAGTACAGATTCCAGCATCTGCAGTAATTTGCTCCTGTCACTTTATATGTGCCTAAGTAACCTGCCCTCTGCCTGTATGGAAATGAACTCAATTGATACAATCATCAAAGTCCAGCTCTCACCAGTTAGCCAAGCGTCTTGACCCATTTCAATATTTAATGATTTTTGCTAGTGCTTTCCCTGACCCTTTTTCTTTGACAAAGCGTTCAATGTTACACTAGACTTGTAAATGAAGACATTTCTCTTTGTCCCCATTTCACGTTTCTGATAGCCACCTGCTCAACCCTGACTGGCCGACCTGAAGAAATGGACTTTACCTAGTCATCCTTAGCAAAACTCCTCACTATTTTAAAATCACTTCTGCAACATTTTTTAAACCCTTCTCTGCTCCGGTCAAAATTATCACTGCATCTCAAATCACCATGTAAAACTATAAATACTCCAATATTCTGGTGTCTATGAAGAGGTGCCTAAAACTGCACACAACATTCTAACTATGGCCTGACCAATGCCCTAAAACAAAGTTATTGTTTCTTTAGTCTCATATTCTGCACCCCTATTAAACAACCTGTAGAGATTGTAATGAGGTCAGCCAGGTGGACCTCATAGAATGAGTTCCTTGACTGGGGCTGTTGACCTGGTCCAATCAGAGAGCAAAAAGCAGGACAAATTCAGCTGTCCAATTACTACTTCATCAGTCTGCTCTCAATTATTAACAAAGTCATCAACAGTGCCATCAAGTGGTATTTGTACAGGAATAGCCTGCTCACTGATACTCATGGAATCCATACAGTGTGGAAGCAGGCCCCTCAGTCCATTGAGCCTACACTGACCCTCCGAACAGCAGACCACCCCAGACCCACCCCCTTACCCTGTCCCTGCAACCCTAATCCACCTAGCCTGCACATCCCTGGACATTATGGGGCAACTTGGCATGGCCAATCCACCTAACCTCCATATCTTTAGACAGTGGAAGGAAACTGGAGCTCCCAGAGGAAATCCACAGAGACAGAGGGAGAATGTGCCAACTCCACACAGACAGTTGCCCGAGGGTGGAGTCGAACCTGGGTCCCTAGCACTGTGAAGCAGCAGTGCTAACCACAGAGTTTGAGTTCCACCAGGACTCAGCTCCTGACCTCATTACAACCTTACTCCTAAAGTGAATAAAAGTGCTGAACTCCAGAGAGGATTGATTGCAGGCAGCATTTGACATTGTAGTGATTGGAACCAGCTGGATCTTGTTGACTATGAGATCCTTGATTGGGGTTGTTAACCTGGGTAAATCAGAAAAGCCCTGGTTGACCAATATAACCAGGGGATTAGAATCTCCTCAGTCCAGGGGGACTGACTCCGAGCTGGCTGGTCAGAGCCAGGGTACTGTGCACAAGTAAATAAAGAGTGACTTGATGAAGGGATACAGGCCTCTGTGCAGTTATTTCAGGCATCAACCTCTGCACTTGTCTCTATGAGTGCAGTTCCAGCAACACTCAGAAAGCTCAGCACCATCCAGGAAAAATCAGGCAGCTTGACTGGCATCCATTACGTTCAGACATTTCCTTCTGTCACTATTGAAAAGCAGTAGCAGCAGTGTGTATCATTTACAAATCACATGCCGTACCTCTGACAGACAACTTCCACAACATCTTCCAAACCTCTTTCCACCTTGAAGGATAAGAGGAAGAGATCATTTTTTTGGGCCAGCACAGTGGCTCAGTGGTTATCACTGCAGCCTCACAGTGCCAGGGACCTTAGGTTTGATTCCAGCCTCAGGCAACTGTCTGTGTGGAGTTTGCATGTTCTTCCCGTGTCTGCATGGGTTTCCTCCGGTTTCCTCCCTCAGTCCAAAGATGTGCAGGTTAGGTGGATTGGCCTTGCTAAATTGTCCATAGTGTCCAGGGATGTATAGGTTAGGTGAGTTAACCATGGGGAAACACAGGGTTATAGGGTAGGGAGGTGAGTCTGGGTCAGATGTTCTTTGGCGAGTGGGTGTGGACTGAATGGGCCGATTGGCCTGTTTCCACACTGTAGGAATTCTATTCAGATACATGGGAACATCACGACCCGATGGAGGTTCTCCTCCAAGCCACACACCATCCTGACTTGGAGTTATATTGCCATTTCTTTTGCTATCACCGGGTCATCATCCTGGAACATCCTACCTAACAACACTCTGGGTGACCACCTTCCACAGGACTAGTACGGCTGAGCAAAAATCGACCTTAGCCAGTGAAACCAACACCCATATATGAATTCAAAAAAACTATCCAGAGAGTTCAAAGAAAAACCCAAATGCCACCGTACCATTAGGTGTATGGTAAACAGTTAATGATCAACTCAAACAATTAATCATTCAAGCGTGGCGACCAGCCAAAACTATGAAGAAACATACACACTAATTATTAAAATAAAACATAAAACTATGGATGATGAACATTGGAAACAAAAACAGAAATTGCTGAAGAAACGCAGTAGGTCCGGCAACATGAGTTTCTCCAGCAATTTCTGTTCTTTGTTACACATTAATTATACTGCTCTGGCAGCTACACAAGATCCCATCGTGCCATTTCAGAGAAGAATGGAGGAGCTGTCCCCAGTGTTCTGACCAACATTTGCACACCAAGTGCCATCACGTAATCCAAATTACTTTAATCCAAATCATCATCACATTATCACCATCACACAGCACAGTGGCTCAGTGGTTAGCACTACTGCCCCACAGCCCCAGGGACACAGGTTTGATTCCACCCTTAGCCAACTGTCTGTGTGGAGTTTGCACATTCTCCCCGTGTCTGTGTGGGTTTCCACTGGGTGCTCTGGTTTCCTCCCACAGTCCAAAAATGTGCAGCCTAGGTGAATTGGCCATGCTAAATTGTCCATAGTGTTCAGGGATGTGAAGTTAGGTGTGTTAGCCATGGGAAATGCGGGGTTACAGGGAAAGGGTAGGGGGATGGGTCTGGACGGGATGCTCTTTGGAGGGTTGGTGTGGACTTGTTGGGCCAACTGGCCTGTTTCCACACTGTAGGACTCCTATGATTATTGTTTGTGAGACAGTTGCTTTGAGTAAATAGTATACCTTGCAAGAGTGAATAACCATTAACATTATGACTTTGGGACATCCTCAGATTATAGAATTCAGTATATTAACACAAACGTTTTTTTTCTTAATCCTGCTACAAAGGTCTATCCCAAGTACATAGCCCCTCACTCAAAATGTCCCTGACTCCATTTTTTGTGAAAAGCTTCAAACAGTATAATTGGTGAAGCAGATCAGTTGAAGGCTTCCTAAAGATATTAACGATTCTATCACAAGGTACGGTGAAAGGTTATTGTAGCTGACACTTTGGCATCTATTACTTCAAAAATCAAATGGAAGAGCATTTATTGCATAAGTTGATTAAGGTAGAATGATGGACGAAACTACAGATTGATGTCACTCTATCAGTTTGCAAGTGAACCTTATTGTCATGCAGCGAAACAAAGAGAAGTATGTGGATGATACAAACAGAGATTCTTGCAAATTAAAGTTAGAATTAACGGGCCCAATTTTAAATTTGAGTACAGAAATTTGTGAATCACTTCATTCTGCACAAATGAGAGTGAAAAGATATCACCAACTAAATTAACATAACCTCTAGGGGAGATCATGTTAATAAACTATCAGCCTGTATTAGTTTCAACGAATGGTTCCAGCCAAAATATTAAGATATTTTTCCTTTTTGATTTGCCGGCCACCTGTGTATATCTAGAATTTGTACTTTCCCCCCCTGTTTGATGAGTTGGGTTTGAATTAGATGTACTTACTAGTTCCATACATCTTCGAGAGGCTTCCTGCTCCCTCTCAACAAGGTCATCCATCTCTGTTTTCATCTCCTCCATCCGCTGTTGGACACGTTTTGCAGTCTCCTTCTCCCGAGCCTCAGCCTCGGCTGCCTGTTCCAGTTCCTCACCCATCTTTATCATGTTGTCCCGCAAACGTAGGACCAACGTCTACAATAACAATTGGGAGCGAAAGCTTTAGTTTGCAGGTGATACACTTCCTCTCTTTGGATTTTGTCTGTGTTTGTCCAGACACACATGCATGTATTTAAACAAATGTGTCTGTCCTTCTGTGTGTATCAATTAATTCAGCCTTTAAAGAAGATTCCAATAGCCATTGTTAACAATTAGTACCTTTAAGTCGACAATATATTTTGTGTATTAAGAGACAGCCATAATTAGTCATTATTACAGTTTCATTTAGGAGTGATTTAGCCTGCAGTTTCTACATGTCTGAAGATTTGTCTCCTCAATATATATTTTAATGAGGTTTTAAATCCTTGAGGTGAATAGTTCGCTGCATTTGAAAAAAATGGTCAAGCAAAGAAACTGCTTTGATTAGGGACAGTGACCAATGACATGCGGAGTGAGGCAGAATCATTCACAAATTTAGCATGGTGTATGCCAGAGAGTGAAGTACTACTGGGCACTGGGTTTAAGGATCTCATGTAGTTGCTCTGGAATTAAAGGACAGTGAATTTAGTTTGCAGTTTGTTTTTCGTGCCTGGGATAGAAGCTGAATGATAAAAGCATGCACAGAAAGCTGCCAAAAGGAGAACTGGTGGCAGCTGTTCCAGGTTGAGTCTGAGCAAGAAGCCTTACTGTGGAATTAGTGGTAATTCATGACTCAGGGTTGAGTGTTTATATGAATATTGCAGGAATGAAAAGATTAATGTGAATTTGAATCATTTTCTGACGTCTAGAGTGAAATCTTTCCAACCTTTTGCTTTATCAAGTATAATGTAGTTCATATTTTTCTTGTTTAATAAACATTTTATTCTTTGTGTTAAAACTGCATGTGCAAATTGGTTCAGTAACTGATCTCCACAGTTTAAAAAAGCCAGGCTCCATCAGGCCAAATTTCACTCTCAGATCTGACCTGTGCAATATTATCATCAGCCAGGATCATAACAGTGTTTAAGAGACTGATTTGTTAAACTAAGCATCAAAAGGCATTTAGAGATTGTAAGGGTTTCATTGTGAATCTGCCAGTTTAGCACCAACACCAGTTTCCACCTTTTCCTTACGGATCATTTCCCTGTTCCAACAGTCAACTCCCCACTGGGGAAGAACCCAGTTCGTTATTATTCTTTTTTCTCCCCCTTCTTTCTCTTTTCTGTTCAGAGGTGCTATTACAGAGCTCTGGATGTTTTTTCTTTACCACTTACCAGATGACCTGTGTTACTAATGATCAAGTATTATCTAGTGCAACAATATTGAATTCAGAAGAGGGTAGGGAATGAGGAAGCAACTAAATAGACAGGTGCTCCAGCCCCCCAGTGCCCACTTCTTTCTAAAAGCTTCAAGGGTTTTGATGGACACCATTTGCTTCTTCTCTAAGGACATGGAAGGAGGACAGGAAAAAATCTCTTAAATGCATCTCTTAAATGCAAAATCCAACCAACATTATTACCTCTTGATCAACTCTGGAGTTGTTCTGTTTTATTCTTAAAGCATCATGCATTCCTAACACTGGCAGATACCATATTAAAGAATCAAGATCCAAAACACAAGTTAGGAACCATTCCCTAATGGGCTGAAGAATTCATTGTGTGGAAGGAACACTTTAGCTATGAAGACAGGCTGGATAAGCTCAGGTTGTTTACACTGAAGCAGAAAAAGCTGACGGGGGACCAGATAGAGGTGTATCAGATTATGAGAGGCATGGACTAGTTTGAAAAGAAAGCAGCTTGGTTGAAAGGGTCAATAAAGAGCGTCAACATTTTAAGGTCAACAAATGTGGAGCGGGACAAACACAGCAGGTCAGACAGCGTCTGAGGAGCAGGAACTCAACATTTCGGGCCAAAACCTTTCATCAAGACTGGGGAGGGAGTGGGGAACCCAGAAGTAAATAGAGGGAGAGGGGGTGGGGAAAGGTGGGTGGGATGGTGATAGGTAGATGCAGGTAGAGGGTTATAGTGATTGGTCAGTAGGAAGAGTGCGGCAGATAAGTGAGTAGGAAGATGCACGGGTTAGAACAGGTCAGGGAAGCTGGAGATGGGATAAAGCTGGGGGTGGAGGGATTTTGAAGCTGGTGAATCAATATTGAGGCCACTAGGCAGAAAGCTCCCAAGGTGAAATGTCAGGTGTTGTTCCTCCAGTTTACGTTTGGCCTCACTCTGACAGTGTGGGAGGCCAAGGATGGACATGTCGCCAGGGGAGTGGGAGGGGGAATTAAAATGGATGGCAACCGGAAGGTTGGGTTGGTTGGTACGTGCAGAGCTCAGATTCTCTGCAAACTGGTCCCCTAGTCTGCATTCGGTCTCCCCGACATAGAGGAGACCACATCGGAACCAACAGATGCAATACGTAAATGAAATGCCTCCTCATCTCAGTTCTCCCTGATTGCTAATCAGTTCTGAGTTTGGGCCCCTGTGTTCCTGGTTCCTCAGCCAGAGGAAACAACCTCTCAGTATCTACTGTCTCAAGCCCCCTGAGAATCCTGTATACTTCAGTTAGATCGCCTTTAATTCTTCCCACCTGCTGAAAGTATTGGCCCAATTTACTTAGCCTGTCATCACAGGACAATTCACCAAAACCAGGAATCAATGCAGTGAACGTTTGCTTGTACCAGCTCCAAGACAAGTGTATCCTGCCTCATATCTGGAGTACTCCAAGTGTGGACTCACCAAAATGCTATACAATTATAGCAAGACTGCTTTATTCGTTGTACTCCAAACCACTTGCAATAGTGTCCATTTGTCTTCCTAATTGCCTGCCGAGCCTGCATGCTGCTTTTCTATGCTCTTTATATGTGTACATTCAAGTCTGTCTGCACGTCATCATCTAAATGTTTACACCTTTTATAGTGTGCTTTCTGTATTTGCTGACCTTGCACTTCTCAGTGTTAATACTCTGTCATTTATCACTGACTCACCTAACCTGTGAGTCAGCATCACCGACAGTGCAGCACTGCTGCAGTTTTATACTGAAGTATCAGGCGCGTGGTCCAAATGGGGCGTGGACCCACGTGCTTCTTCCTCACTGGAGAAAGCTCCCTATGAGCCCCAGGCTGACCATCTCGTTGTGTCTATGGATATGCTATTGATCATCTTTCTCTGCCCTGTATACACTGGGGTAAACAATGTCGCGCACCACAATGTTATGGTAAAGAATTCAGTTTGTACTCAAGCACAGCAGCAACTTAAAACATGAGAAATGTCCAAAGTGTCTGTAAGGGCCACCTTATCAATCTCAATGAGACAGGTAGGGGAATGGTAATTAAGTGACAAAGTACAGATAATTTACACTATGTGTGCACAGGTTAACTATGAATGTTTATTTACACCGCATACATTCGGAACAGCATTTTCCTTATCCCCTAGTAATTGGGGAAAAAAGAAATCTTTAATTTATTTCAGTTAGAAATTTATTTTGCTTTTGTCTTTGCATGAGAGACATGACCAGGGCCATACCAATGGTGTTCTGAATTAATAGTTCACTATGACTGCTGTAGACTGTTCAACAGCTGATTTCTCACTTCAGGAGAACTTGATTAGATGTGTGCTGTGCAGCTCCTCCAGGCAGAATGCCTTTGAAACAGCTCATATCACTCTGATATAGACTTGATTTAAACCCTTTGCCATCAAGTCATTTTTCAATATTGTTTCCATGGTTCCCATAAAATCCATAGGGCTGTTTCTGAACTGAGTTGGCATAGAGAGATGTGGTTCCTAAAGGTCTAAACTCCCTGTAATAAATTAAAGGTGTTTGTCTCATTTATTTAAAGATTAGATAATAGCCTTTGAACAAAAGATTAAATAAGTTCATTTCCTTGATCTAATAACAATGTTGTTTATTTGATGCAAAGGAAATAATGTGCTACAGTACAGATTTTGTATATAATCTGGCATTACCACTGGGATATGTGGCAGTGCAATTTGCTATATTATTTCCCCTTCTGTCCTATGCCTGTAAATGATGCATTAAGACCGTAAGACCGTAAGAAATAGAAACAGGAGTAGACCATTCGGCCCCCTACTCTGTCATTCAATATGATCATGGCTGATCTGATATTCCTCGTATCCAGTTTTCCTGCCCTTTCCCTATAACCCTTGATTCCCTTTTATCAGAAATAGAAGTGTCAGCTTTGGCACACAGGAGATTAGCTCAGTTGGTTGGACAGCTGCCTTACAAAGCAGAGTGATGCCAACAACATGGGTTTGATACCTGCACAGGCTGAGGTTACCATGAAGGACTCTCCTTTGTAACCCAATTACAACATTTAAATGGTACATGAATAGGAAGGGTTTAGAGGGATATAGGTCCAATTGGATATCTGGCCAGTGCACACAAGTTGGATTGGAGAGTCCGTTTCCATGTTGTATCACTCATTGGCTCTCCTCTTGCATGAATGTGGTGACTTTCAGGATAAACCACCACCAGTCATCTCTCTCTAATGAAAGAGCAGCTCTATGGTTCAGGATGATAGCAACTTTACCTTTTTAAAGACTTTTTTTTAACCAACCTATTCAGGGATGTTATTGCACACCTCCACAGCAGGAGGAACTTGACTCTAGGTCTCCTGGTTCAGAGGTAGGGACACTACCATTGTGCCACAAGACACTTTACCTTTTATATTAATGAAACACAATACATATGAACTACAGGAAATGACACAATGTCATATGATCTTGTTTTCACTTTTACCAGTGTGGTAAGTCAGAGCCGGGGTAAAATGTTTCTTAAGTAAAGTCAGTGTGTTCCTTGCGTGAGCAGATGTTATAAATATTCTTTAAAAGTACAATGAATCCATTGCATGGTGGCAGCAAGTGAAAGAGCAATATGGAAAAGTCTTCGGCAAAACATTTGAAGCAGATTGTAGGCCAGAATGCAACAACACAACCATGATTGAAATGATACTGAAGATTTATAAAGTATCGCATCAGGCCTCCCTGAAAGCTGGGGCTTAAGGAGGTCAGTACATTATTAGGAGCTATGCAGGCAATATC